TGAAGCTAATAATTGGCAAACAAATTTCACCCAGCTCAATTTCTTCCAGCACTTATGTGGAGCTTAAGTGATGCTGAAGAACTTTAAGCTGGCTTCCCTCACATTGTGTGCTCTCCCTCACAGTGTAGACTTGCCTATGAAAAAGTCCACATCATCATATTCAATGGCTTGATCCCTACAACTGTCAAGTTTAGAGTTGATGTTTTCATACAAGTACACCAACGAGGTCTGTTTGGGCTGAAACATGCTATACTGATTAGCAAAATGATTTGTATAAAGAAGTTAAAAATGCTTTGCATATTGAAAGCTGTTAAATTAACTTGGGACAAAGTACAGCCAATACAAAGCAGAATTTATGGCTTTCTGGCTTGTTTGTTAAAAAAAAGCTGGCTGGTTTGTTGAAAGATGGCCAGTGGCTGTTTATAGCACCCTGTTGCAAAATTTTAAAGGACAAAATTAAATGTATATGTACAACAGAAATTTTAATTCATGTCTTAGATTTCCAATACATTGTGTTCCTCAAGTATAGTAGCTTTCTTTTTCCAACTTGCCTGGCATCATCCCAGTTGTAGAGTTCTGAAAAGTCCCTCTCTTGACATCAGATCATGAATTTGGAACGAAGTGGAAACATCTTCAAATAATTTATCCCAGGTTTTTCAAGGACATTTAGGAAATTGAGTCAGTTCTTTGTGGACATAACCAGGCAGGATGAATTTAGTAATTCTCTCAGCATTAAAGCAGGAAATTACATGGATCTCACTGATTTTTTTTTGTTTAGGTAAGAACTACAAGACTAGTCTACAGTTATTTAATTTAATATGGTGTCACAGAATCAGACGTAGGGCTGGAAGGGACCTCCACAGGCTGTCTAGTTCAACCCCCTGCCAGATGCAGGATCATCCCTATTCAAATCATCTTGTACAAATCCACTGTCTAACCTATGAGCAAAACTACATAGTTAACCTTGACACGAGATAAGACTTAATACCCTAACCTGCCACAGGTAAAGCAGAGGGACTATGGTGACCAATGTCCTGCTGATGCAAAGATTGTTAATATCTGCTCCAGAGATTGCAGAAAGAGGGCCATGCCACCACTACAGAGAAAGGCAACCCCTGCTCCCCACAATCCATACTAATATGACTGTGGGGTAAAATTCCTTTCTGACCCCAAATATTAGTCTGACCCTGAGTGGAGGGCAAGACCCTCTAGCCAGGATCTCTGGGTTTCAGTCCCAAAAGAAGCACTGGCACACCCCAGTCAAAATCCTTAGCCATGGGGGCAGACAACACCCAATGCATCTGAGGAAGGCTAAAAAACCCCTGACATGTGGCACATTCAGAAACATGGGTGGCAGGAGTGGGAAGGACAGAGGGAAGGATAGTGAATTTCCTCCCATCCCTGTTAGGCAACCAGCAAAGCCCAGAAACATAGGAAATACTCATGGGCATAACTGTGCCTAGATCATCCCAACCAACACCTCTAGGGATGGAAAGCCCACAATTTCCCTAGACAGACTATTCCATTGCCTCACTGTTCTAACTGAAGAAGTTTTTCCTGATATCCAAGCTAAATCTGCTTTGCTGCAACTCCAAGACATCAGTTTTGAAGGTTATCTGTACTAAGTAAAGGTGTGACTTGATCTGGGGCACAACAATAGTCACTCTTAATAGTATTTTCAACCTTTTCAGGTTGTTGACCTATTTTTCAAGGTAAAAGATCTCTGCAATCTCCTTATAATTTCTGTAAAAAGTAAAAGTAGAAACAGTGCATCAGTAATGATACATGACAGAGAGAAGAGAACATTATTTTGGAGTTTTCTGATTTTACATGAAGATTGTTAGAGGGAAATTTTCTAAGTGATCTAAAGCAAGGTTTGGCAACTTTTTGCTATTGTGAATCTCTGCTTGTGATGCTGATCATGGACTACACCTCTGCATTTTCCCAAAGATCAGCAGATGCTGTGAAAGGCTGGTGCTAGGACCTTGTGGAAGAAGTGTCTCCTGCCACAGAGAACATAAGCTGAATATGGTGGTAAATAGGACCCTGGTGATGCCTCCTCTGCTGCTGTGGCTGTAGCGTGCTAATTATTCTCTAAACTGCTGTGGACTGGATCCAGTCTCTTCACTAGCTAGAACAACCCTGCTCTAAAAAGTTTTCTCATGGCTTAGTCATCCCGGTGACCCTCGTTGATGTCAATGACAAACTCAGAGCAATATTCTCAAGGACTCATCACATCCCGACTACAGTTTTTGCTTCCTTTTCTTAGTTATTAAATGCACATTCATTTCAGTAAATAAAATGCATCAATCATCAATGAATTTGAGTGACAGCTTAAGTATGATGGGAATCTCTGGCCAGGAAGCAATCAGAATGGCCAACAAAGGCTCTAATCTACCCAAGCAAGAATTCATACTAGCCACACTAATAATCTCCCACAGTTTCACCTGGCCAAAGAAACATGACATTCTGAGATAAGCATTCAGGCTATATTCCTACTTGATTTCTTTATGGACCAAAACATATTAGAACAGAAAAAAGTGATAAATCATCATATTCAAACTTCCTCAGATATAAACATAGGAGTCAGATAAAAACAGAAATGGAAAAAATGCTGGGGTTAGGTAACAGGGGGGCCTTCTTGGGGCCAGTCTACCAACGGCCCACCCACCTGTTTCTGGGCCAACCAACCACCTTCTCTCCTGCCATGCCTTGTTGTTATCTAATTAGGATGTTAATTAGGCGGGAGGCTCCCCATTTCTTGCCCCGGTGCCAGGGGGCACAATCTACAGCTCCGTTCCTCCCCTACACTGCAGCCCAAGCCTTGCAGATGGCATCCTCTGTTGTTAACATCACCGGCCCCACACTGGGCCCCAGAATCCTTCAGTCTGGACCCCTACAGGATCCCTCCACTCAGGCAGCCTACTCCACCTTCATTTGGGCTGCCTAGCTCCCTGAAAATATTTCCCCTCTCAGGTGTGGTTCCCCCAGGACCTTTGGCCACACAGGCCCTGGCCTCACCTCCAAGGCCAGTCAGTCAAGCCCTTAGCTCTGGGCATTCCTTGTGGTGGACCCCTGGCTCTTTTGACCACTTCGGTCCTGGCCCCAGCATTGACCAGTTGAGGGTACTCTACATGAGGCTTCTCCACCTCCAGCCCACTCTTGGGTCCACCTTCTGGCCCCTACTAAGTGTAACCCACCCAGTTGTGGGAGCTGGGGTTATTAAGGCACCCTGACCCACCTTTCACTGGGGTGGTAACTGGCCTGGCATTTCCTGGGGGCTCCCACACCACTGGGAGCCCCACCAGGGCACCCACTCCTGGCAGGTTGCAGTTTTAGGTCATGGCCAGGACTAGGAGCCTCCAAACCATACCCTACAGTGCCTGCACTTACCTCCTGCCCTTATGTTCCAAGCAGCCTTGCAGCCAGGTGATGTTATTGCCTGGGCTGCCAGCAGCAAACAGTTCTGTTTATATGGGCGGCCAGAGATCTAAAATGGCCGCTGCAATCAAGCCCTGCTGGCTGCTTGGCTGAGTCCTAAAAGTGGCAGGCTCCAACAGTGCCCTGCCACAGGCTAGACAGAAATTCAGCTGGGGATGAAAGCAAAATGGAATACTCTGTGTGTGTGTGTGTGTGTGTGTGTGTGTGTGTGTGTGTGTGTGTGTGTGTGTGTGTGTAACTAAAGCTCATTTGATGAGCTTCAGTTAAAGTGCCCCGCCACCATTTTTCAGTGCAGGACCGCTGATCTATATGATGCTCTGCGTGCTTTAATTAGAGTGACTCTTGGAGCCCCCCCACTCCCCTCCCAGAGCACGTTATAAACACCCCATAGTTTTAAAGAGTGAATCAGAACGACCGCAAGCCAGTCACCACAAATGCATTAGGTCTTTCAGTTCATTAAACACTCCCATTTTGGACTGCAAATTTTCATAGGCGTCTATGTCAAAACGTTGTTGTGGGGAACCTAAACTGTCCAAGTCCCTGGAAAGACAGGAAGGTAAAAAACACCCCAACTTATAATCACAGCACTGAATTCAGTTCAAAGCCAGTGGTGCAGTGCCCATCTTTTGTTCAATAGCTTAGTAGTTATGCCAACTGCCTAGGAAGTGGGTTCAACCCCTGCCCCAGATTGTAGTGGGCCTCAAACCTAGGTCTTTCACTTCTACAACAACTGTTCTAAGAATCAGACTTCTCTGAAAAATGTGCACTCCTCCATCACCTCATTCTGAAATGGCTATCTTCAGAAACCCCAGAAAAAGCTGTATTGGAAGTGGGAATAGGCAATTTGAATGGCATCTGAATACATACACTTCATGGATAGTCTGACAAAGACAAAAATTTAGACACACTCCTAAACCTAAATAATTCTTAGTGGTCTCTGAAATCTTTCTATTGACTATACAGAGGTCCAAGGCACCAACCAGGTCATTCTGAACTGCCCTCCTGGGACAGATGCTCAAAAAGGTAGTTGGGGCAGTGCCTAATCAAGGTGCATACTGAGACGATTTAAATACTGGCCCATGTTAATAGAGCAGTACTCCCAGGTTTACATTATAATTAATGTAATTAGTTCTCTGCAAAGTACAGAGCAGGGTTTGTTAACCTGTTGTTTTACTACTTATTTACTCTGCCAGCACCGCTCCCCATAAACTTGAATCCTGTCTCCCATCATGGCATATGCCTGTGTGACTGCTATAGTAATGTATCACCTGGAGCCTTATTTGTCAGAGAGACGTGTGTTAGGACATAGACTGTTTAGTACAGATGCTTTGATCATGCTATAAGATGTTTTGCTAGGATATTTTATTTGATGTCAGAGGTTGCCTTATATGAAGCTGTTAAAAAAATGAACATTTAGGAAATAAGCCATAGAAATAATACAATAATAAAAAAGAATGAACTCTCAAAAACTTAAGAAAGTGTGAAATGACCTGGAAAACGAAAAAATTAATAAAACAGTTAATAAAATAAAAATGCAGCAGCATATTCTGTAATCTTACCGTTCCTGTTGTGCCCAAGGAAAGGTGGTTCATCTGTTGGGTCAGGGGGCCCATCATGCTTGCTGGCTGCATTGACATAGTGTGGTCCATTGTCGGCGTTATCACAGCACCCTACAAACAGACATCATTGCCATCTCACCATTTTTTTTTTTTAATGTCATAAGCATTTTTTAAATAAATGAACCTGGCTAAAACACTGACATTAATCTTAAAAGAGACTAATACAGTTGTCACTTGAGATTTGTTTTGTCCTCATTGACAGCCAACATATACACATATTATTTGTAGAACTAATCAGAACATTTTATGCCAGTTCAAATTAAGTGTTAATTTTGACTTCATTGCTTCTGACAAACAAATGCATATGGTCTGTCTATGATGAACGCTACTGTACTTTGCAGAATGTCTGTCATTTGCATTTTCCATAATCTACGTGGAACGCTGACTCTCAGACACCACACATATGTCCTTCATTTTCCCTGGAATTTAAAACCTTCAGTCTGAGATAGGCAACCTACGATGGTACTTATCTTGGTTTTTCCAATCTCAGTTATGAGTCCTCATTTATCACATTTTACAGCTGATTAAGTATGACTAGTTATTGACAATCGGTATGGTAGTGACAGCCACTCAAAATATATGCGCGCACACATGCATTTTCCTCTCTGCATGGCAACAAAGAGGTCAGTAATAAACCAGGGGCAAGCTATGGCAAGAATAAGACTCTGAACAAAAGATTAAAAGAATTCAAGAGAATTGTTCAGGAGAGCTTCTCTGTCATTTTCAGCTCTCCCAGCTTTCAGTGAACGTTGAAACACTCATCTCTTTACTCACTCATGGCTTTAAAGTGGCTCTCTCCTGAGCTCCTCTATGCAAAAGAATGTTTTCCATATTAACTAGGATAATTCACTTCAGAAAGGAGCGAGTTGCTTTTTTCTCCTACAAAAGGCAGAAGATACCGCTTTCTTTATGTTCTTTAGCATGGGACAGGCAAGGTTCATCAACTCATTTGAACATGGTATAAACCAAAAGATAATTAAACAGGAGTAAATAACTTGAGATATATTCAGCTGTCCATTAGTATGAAAGTTATGGTATATTCTGTGCAAACCCACTGCATAAAGTCACACTATGAGAGTTAGTAAAAAATAAAAAAAGTTTGTGAACCTTTTTGTGAGATATTGTTCACTTGTTCATTCAGAATTTTTAACAGTTCTACATACTACACACTGGAATTGAGCACAAAGAATAATAATAAAAAAAGATCTCTAAAGACATTGTCTGATTGTTCTAAAGTGTTTGCCTCACATTTATACTGGACAGTTGGGGTCATTTCTAAGGATCAGACCGGAAGCAATAACTCCAGTATTTTCAACTCTAGGTAAAAAGATAAAAACAAATTGGGTAGAGGTGTAACAAGGCAACTTTGGCTCAGAGGGCAGCACTGACTGCTATGCCAGTAGTGGTGGTGGAGCCAGATGCTTGTTTTTGCTGCCCTCCCCCCTGCTTCTCCTCCCCACCCCCGCCAAATTGGCACCTCAGTTATGCTACTGCAGTTAGGGAGATTGATTTGTTCTTCCAGGAAGTCTTCTTCTATGCATGTCTGATTTGAGAATCTTACTGATCCTTGGATATGAATTTACTGATTACTTGGATGCAATGTTCAAAAGAGAGTTGACTCAAATCAGTTTTGTAAGGCATTAAAGTATATGAGATACATACCCACATACACGATTTGCCCCACACCAAGTTTTGTTATTTATATTGGAATAAACACTTAGGGCAAGTCATCAAATATGCTACAGAAAATAGGATACCTCCGTAGAAAAGCTGTAATATTCCTCTATGCATTCTTATCAATACCAACAGCCTTATGAGTGTGCATGTTTCTAATCCTCAATGTTTATGCAAATTTTTGTCTCCTTGTTATTGGCTGCTTTGCTTAAGATCAGCACAGATGTAATTACAATAGATTAATTCATCCCACTTAACTTGCCATGAAGCCACTCTCCACATGACTTGGAAAAAGTTCTCTTACAAACCCTATTTCCATCACCTGTCATTGCAAATCTTTCTTTTCAGTATTGCAGATGCCTCCCCCCACCTTCCAAATCTCCTTATTCATTATTCCTTTCCAGCTTCTTACTCCCTAATTGTAACCACTTTCCTTTAACATCCTCCCTCACAAACATTACAAAATCTGTTGGAAGGGCATGACAGTGAGCATCTTGGGTACAATCTAAAGCCCATTTAGTATTTATGACTCAAAGCAAGAACCTTCAGTTGCATTTTGTCTGCAGTTTTGCCAGGTGTTCAGTTTAAAAAAACCTGGAATGCCAGTCATGCTCCTGAAGTTGAGATCTGGTATGGCCTTGGACCATCCATCCTTGGTTTATTAACTGTGCTGTTTGGTTACAAGAAGAATTCATAAAATATGCAATTATGGTCCAAATGACCTGAACCAGAATAAGGTATTATATTGAGCTTATATTGAATTAGTTAACAGTAAAAGAATATTCCAGCTATTCCTACAGGCAGTTTTCTCATTTTGGCTAGGCAATGGACTATTTCCTTAAAGCCATCAGTGACCTTAGCTGCTTGTCTGTGACAGGATATGAAAAAACCTACATGCATGTCAGCCTCACACAGCATGTATACATGGCTGATCAATTAGAGCCCTGCATGATACAATGAAAGAAATGATTGCCAGCAGTAGCAGCAGCAATTAACTTGGGAGGCTCCCAAGGACAATAAAGTTTAGCTCTTTTTTCTGAGATCTCTATCACGATGGCATCATTGTGGGAAGCTTGGCATGATTACAGATGTGACAGACTGATAGTTATAGCAGTGTATAAATTTAGGAGCCTAGCAATTAAGGAAGAACTGCAGTAAGGAAAATGTTGTGATTGAGGATGGTAAATATGAGTGCCAAACATCAGTGGAACAGTTGGGTAAAAAATGTTTCTTTCTGTAAGCAAAACACAGTTTTTGTGAATAAATTATTATAAAATATGGGGTTTTAAGAAAAAAATATCTATCTAACACAAAGTTTATTTGGAGATAACAGACCAGTTTAGCTACTTTTTAAAAACTGAACACGTATTCTAGTCTTACAGTTTACAACCGAGAACACGCCAGAAAAAGGACCAATAGTGAACTCAAGAATCTACAGATTTCTTAAGACAACTTTAAGGGTTAGAAGCTGACAGTTACCTAGACCAGAAAACTGCATGCATTTGCCAGTCCATTAATTCACCAGAATTTGCAACATCCTCTTATGATCATGTAAGGAAAAAATTATACTTAATTAAGGAAATACTGTCTGGTTGTTAAGGCAACACTAGTTCTCCAAACCATAATACATTTCCTAAAGCAAGCTGTCATATTCACTAGTGTTCAACTTATTTAGCTGCAGAAAGCAACAAGGTCTTGCATCAGATGTTGCCATCTCAGTAAATGTAATTTAGCTTTCTTATAATGTAGATAGCATGTGTTTGCTGACAGGGTCCACTTGGCTAGTGTTAAGGCTAAATAAAATATTTTCATTTTAGCATCTTAAGCTGTCTGAGTTTACAGAGTGTGTAAAGCAGACAGAGAAAGACCTTAATATGCTGTAATTCTATTGAAGGCCAAGTTTAGTTTAAAAAATACCACTACAGGAGAATTTATGATGAGGTTTTTACCACTGTCTTTGCCAATGTAACTTCCCTGCCACTTACTTAAGTTTGTACTTCTATCCCCAAATAATCAGATTTTCATAATTTCTGCAAGAAATTTCCATTATCTGTGTGGGCCTGATATTCAAATGGTTACACTTGCTTTGTGTGTTGCTAATCAAAGCAGGGGGCAGAGGAAGAAATTATATTTACAGTGTTAAATTTTAAACGGCAAGTTCTATATCTTTAAAATCATGGCTGGTATTATGGGTTTTCTTCAGAGATTTGCATGGAATCACATTCATCATTATTATGAAAGCACTTCAGTTTAAACTGCATGCTTCAGTTTACAAGATAAATCAACCTCCTGTGGGCTGGCAAGGTTAGTGAGTGGACCTGAAATAGTTTTTGTTTGATAACATACGAAAACTGGAGGAAACATTTACATTTTTCAGTGAGGAAAAGCTTAGCTTTCAGAATCTGTCAAAGGAGCAAGCATTCCTGATGTAGGAGCCTGACAGAGTCAGGTAGGATAGTAACTTCTCTGAAAGATTCAGAGAAGCTGAAACTTTGTGCTCAAGTGCTCATTGTGATTTTCAAAGCACAATAACTTGGGATTTCCTGTACCAGAAAAAATTGTAACCAGGAACAACACATTATTTGGTCCCTGCCAGTATATAAATCACCTTTGAGGCTATAAGTAAGGGAAATAGTCAATATACTACTATTTTGACGTACAGTTTTCAAGGTATACATATAGTAAAATCCCTGTTATCTGGCATGAGTGAGAAATGGGAGGTGCCAGTAAGCTAAAAGTGCCGGTTACCTGAGGCACAGGATTTCTGGCTGGATGTGGAGTGGGGGGTGGACAGCAGCCGCACGCAGAGCAGCAACAACACAGGGTGGTGGGTGGTGGCCACCATGTGCAAGCTTCCCTGCTCCCCTCCCCCCCCCCCCCCCCACCCGCGGGCAAAGCGGGGGAAGCGGTGGGGCACGGCAGCGTGGATCCTGCCGCTTCCAGCAGTGCAGCAGGAGGCAAAGCAGCATGGCGTGGCGCTGTGTGCATCCCGCTGCTTTCAGTGGTGCAGCAGGAGGCAAAGCAGCATGGCCTGTAAATTCCAATTAATAAGGTATTCTGGTTGGTGAAGTACCAAATTAGAGAGACTTTACTGTATGTAGCCACTTAGACAGAATAATATTTATTCTAGAACACAAAACCAGCTACAAATCATGAGAAAGTTTTTATAACAGCCCACTTCTTGTCTGTCCCAGGTGCCAATGGGCCTTTGTACATGCCACAAAATTGGCCGTTAGATTGGCTTAAATGCCCTTTTGAATAGTTTTAAGGTCACTGCTGTTTGCACATTTGGCGGTGTATTCCGTTTCAATGGTGTTGCTGTTTGTATGCTCAGCGGCGTATTCCATTTTAAATGACTTTGGTACCTAGAAAGATAA